TTTGCTTCTTCCACTCTCTCCTCATCACAGGCTAAGTGTAGAGGAGTGTTACCCTCAGTGTCTTGGATATTTGTGGATGCTTTGTAGTACAGAAAGATATGAATCATCTTCAAGTTACCCTTGGCTGCTGCCCGGTGCATTGCTGTTGCCTCAAAATGGTCCTTAGCATCTGGATTAGCCCCACCTTCTAGCAACATGACAGCAATCTCGTGCCTGTTTTTGGAAGCTGCATAGTGCAGTGGAGTACAGCCATTCTGATTGACAGCATTCACTTGAGCACCTTTTCCCAGAAGGGCTTTTACAATCTCATCCCTGCCAGCAGAAGCAGCAATATGAAGAGGAGTCCAACCTACATCATATTTATCATTCACTGGCACTCCAAGCTGTAGCAAGAATTCAACTATTTCTGTGTGTCCCGCTGAACATGCCCAATGCAATACAGTTCTGTTGTCCCGGTCCGTTTTAGTAGCCAGGGATTTATCGGCCAAGATCCTCTCCTTCAACTCCTCCATCTCCCCATTGTAGGCCAGGTTGCAGACCATAAGGTTAGACACACACCCCTCCATTTCGCTTTCCTCAGGCTCTCCTGTACAACTCTTTTTAAGTCTCTTCTCTCAAGTCTTTTTGGGTGTATACTGAGGAATGGAATTGCTGGGTCATATGGTAATTTTCACTTCAACATAAAGAGAGCAAAAATCTTCACAACTGGACCAAGGATTAAAAAATTTTTTTTAAAAAGATTGACGTTGTTAAGGATTTTATTTTACTTAGATCTATGATCAATGTCCATGGAAGCATCAGTCAGGCAATCAAAGGATATATTTGAATTGGACAAATCTGTTATAAAAGATCTCTTTATTTAAAAGCAAAGATGTTACTTTGACAACTGTGATATACCTGACTCAATCACCTCATATAGATGTGGAAGCTGGGCAAGTACTAAGACAGGAGAAGTGACACCTTTGAATAAGGATGTTGACAAAGAATACAGAATAAACTATGGAGTGCCAGAAGAACAAACAAATTTGTCATGGAAGAAGTACAGCTAGAATGCTCCTTAGACTCAAGGATGGCAAGACTTTGTCTTAGGAACTTTGGACATGTCATAAGAAGGGACCAATCCCTGGAGAAGGACTTCATGCTTGGGAAGGTAGAAGGCCAACAAAAAAGAGGAAGACCCTCAAGGAAATGGGCTGCCACAATGGGTTGAAAGGTAAGAATGATTGTGAGGATGACTCAGGATCATGCAGTGCTCTGTTCTCTTGTCCATAGTGTTACTGTGAATTGGAACTGCAACTTAAGGGCACCTAACAACAATGGTAGTACTATTGGTCATTTTCTGAGGAACCACCATATTGTTTTCCACAACAGTTGTAGCATTTTGCATTCCCACTAGCAATAACAGTTTCAACATTTTTTATTTTCAGTTTTTTGTTGTTTATCTTAACCCTCCTTGTTGTTGCTGTTGTTGTTAAGTGCTGTTGAGTTGGTTCCTACTCATAGCGGGCCTATATAGGGTTTCTGGGGAGCAGCTGGTGGGTTTGAACTGCTAACCTTGTGGTTAACTGGGACCCCTGGTAGGAGTGAAATGGCATATCATTGTGATTTTGATCTGTAACTCATTAAGAGGAGCATCTTTTCCAGAATGATGCTTTTTGAGTGTCTTTGCCATACTGAGAGTCCTAGTCTGACAGGTAGTCTGTAGTTTAGTGAAGCCGAGATTTGACAGTGGTTCAAGGAGCCTCAGCCTGGATCATCTCTTTTCATGGTAAGGTTTCTTATCAGTGTGCCTTCCAATGCTTTTATCCATTGGTGACCATCAATTATTTCACTATAAAAACCACCCAAACCTGTTGCCATAAAGTCCATTGTGATTCATGAGGACCCTATGTGTTAAGAGTAGAGCTGCTCCACAGGAGTTTCTGGGCTCTAATCTTTACTCTGGTAGTGTAGTGGTTATGAATTGGGCTGCAAG